TACCTATTTACACTTCAAAAGCAAGGACAACATGCAGACCTATTTTACTGTTAGACAAAATCATCATCTTCTGAGAAATAGCCTTGAAATCCTATTTTGATTAATATGTTGTTTATGAATACAGAATTCTTTCCTTGCTCCATCTCAATCTTTCTGGTTTATTTTGAGGGAGAATCAGCTTGAAATCAATCCTGTTTATCTTAGAGTGACATAAATTTTCAGGTTTTTCTGTCTTACATTATTTCTCTATGTTACTTAAGGTACTGCTCTTCCCTGTTTGTAGCAGACATCCAAGTGTGTGAAACTGAGTACAGTTACACAGGTTTCTATTCTTTGGGCTCTCTTTCTGGACAAAATTTTTAACAAATGTCTCTGACAATACAATAAAGTAAAGCAGAAGCAGCAGGAAATTCAGAGAGAGAGAGGAAACAGGAACAGTTGAACCATGACAATTTTGTTGCTGTCCTAAGCCAAAACCCTGCATTTTTATACCCAGATCTAGCCCAGAGACTTTGGACTTTGAAGATCTTCCATAAATCTTCAGGCCCAGGAGTTTTATATGAGCTGTACATTAGGAGCATCAATCCTCATAAACTGAGGAAATATCATTGAGGTTATTGTGGGTAAAGGAATTTCAGCAATTTTAGATCCCAATTATTTAAACTGATGAGAAATAAATTCTGTAGTAAGTGTCTGTAGGAAAGTTATTGTTTTATTAAAATTAATTGAAAATATAACAATTTAATTTAAGTCTTTAAAAATTAGTGTTTAAAATTATATTTTCTCTTTTTTATCAAAATTTCACACTGTTTTACAAGTACCTGTTTATTTTCATACTTGTGACTACTTAATTAATGCCCTTTTTTTGGTGAAAGTGGAGACTGAGGCAGGACAGTGAAATGATGGAGGCATTGGCAGGAGCCAGGAATAGCATTCAAACCTACTGCCTAAGTGACTCCCAATGACAGGAATAGATACACCCTTTAGGCAAAATACAAATGCATGAAAATATTTGGAACTTGACAGCCTGGAAATATTGCATGCTCCCTAAAAATGTGTCATTCCAGTCTGTCAGATAAAAATATTTCTGAGAGTGAAAGGGATATTTACAGAAGACAGCTTACATATAATTATATTGTATAGAAACATGTAAATATTTTTAATATTTTCCGTGATTTCTACAGGACATTAAATACCTCAGTATTTCTTAGGTGTCCTTGAGGTCTTTCTATATGGCTAAAACTAAACCACAAATCTTCACAAAATTTTTTATTATACCTAGTAATATATTCATATTAAGAAATAGATTTCCAATAATGAATTTCATGTGTGTTTAAGCTATGATTATTTCTACTCTATCTTGAATGATATTTTTGTTTAAAGAGTAAAGTATTGAATAGTGTGGGATTTTTTTATAGCAAGAAAAGTTATTAGGACCAGATTATACCAGAGTCTGCCTAAACTGGATATTTAGGTGATGTGTTTTGCCATGGTGTCAGAGCAGTGTGGAAATGCACAGAATTTGGGAATTAAAAAAGCCCCAGAAATAGAAGACACCCCCTCCTGCTCCAGCCAAAAACTCTGAGTGATGGGAAATGTTCTCCCTGAGCAGCTGGAGCTCAAGAACTTGCTTATGTGAGTTGGCAAGTAATAAACTGTAAATCCAAGGGTCTAGAGCAATACAGAGCTACAGAAAACTGAACACCAAAAAGGCCTTGACCTAAAATTCCTGTTTGGAAGTAGAATAATGATGATGATGATGACACAAATAACCTGTCTTGATTCTGCCAAGCTGTGTGGGGTTTTGTGCTGCCTAAAATAAATCACTCTCCTAGAATCCCCTTTTTTTGCAGGATTTAAACTGTTTGTGTCAAGTATCAGGCAGCTTGGAGGAGATAAATGTCCCCATGTGAGTGGAGCGTTATGGAAAAATGTGTTTATTTGCTTGTGGGCAGTGTGGGACAGCTTTCAGCAGGAATCACATTTAGGAGTTGATCACATCAAGGTGGCAAAGCTTGGGAAAAGGCAGTGGGGGCACAGGGCAGCCCTGTGAGAGTGCACAAGGTGTTCAGCAGAGCACTGACAGCCTGCAAGTGATAGCACTGAGCAAAATTCCATTTCTAGAGCTGGAGGAGATTTGATGCCGCGTGGCTTGTGACAAATCAGCCCCTTAATTCAGCTGGCAGGATTAGCTGAGCCAGTGCTGGAAGATGAGATCAGAGGATGCCCTGGACCACGGGGAGGAAGCTCAGCTGAGTGTGTGGGATGATGCTGTGAGTGACACAGCACCATCAGAAATCCGTTAGCTCCCCCTGCCACGGCTCCTGCAGCGTCCCTCTGGTCACCTCAAAAAACAAGGACTTGGCAAGATGTGACAACGTGCATAATTACTGAATTTCCTTGATCCCATCAGCAATACAGGGGAATGTCACACAGATGGAAAGTTCTTTTTTAGCTTTTTCTAAAGAACATTTTCCTCCTGGAGAGCCTCACCCACAAGAAGGGATCTCTCTCCAGCCAGTCACTGCTCTAATGAAGCAGGGAGCTCCTTTGGGTGATTGCTCAGTGGTTAAGTGGGATTCCTTATCATAAGCTTGCCAAAAGCTGAACTTTTGCTTTACCTCTCTCATTAAGAAGCTGAACTTATCCCTTCTAATTTATCTTTTATTTTTTTGTGATGAGACTAAAATTCCTTTTCTCAACTGTTCTGTTTCTCCAGTGGCTCACAGAGGGCTGCCAGGGGACCAATGTAACAGCAGAGCTTGTTTGCTGTGTTCTACCAGCCTCCAGTGACCAATGGCATTTAATTGTCCTCCCTTCAGTTTAGTCTTTGATGTGTCTGATCACTTCTGAGCCAGTACAAAATTCAGACATTCTCAGCATCCCATAGCAATGAGCTGCAGAGTTGAACAAGATCAATACAGAACCTGGGTGTCCTGGTTCAGGGCAAATTTGGAAGAAAGCCTCCAAATGAGGTCCCTCCAGAAAACAAATTCAAGCAGGGCCCCCCACAGCTGGTTTGGGAAAAAGATTTCCTTGGAGAAAAGTGGGAAAAAACCTGTTTATTTAACAGAAATTGAATAATGTTAAATAATAAAACCTCATGCTGTTTGAAGAGATGTTAAATCCAGAAAAGTCCTTTCCATGGGTGTAGCTCAGCTCTCTCAGTCTCGTGTCAGTCCCTCCAGTGCTGGAAAGGGCCCAGGCCCAGGCCCCGGTGGCCACAGCCGTCAGCTCCCGGGGTTTGGCTGGGTTTTCAGTCCAGAGCAGGTTTGAACAGATCCAAGAAAAAGGAAAAAAAGATAAATCCAGGGAAGTTCTCTGCCTCAGCTAACTAAAAAGCAACTAACAGCACAGGAGAGCTGTGTCCCGCTGTCTGTCTGTGCTGCAGACAGCACAGGCCAGAGCAGCACTGGGGCAGTGAGGGCCCTTTCTCAACACAAACTGCGGCTTCTTCCTCCCCCCTTTGCTCTCAGAACCAGTCCTAAAGGTGCAGAACTTAATATGTAACATAAACGAGGTGATTTGGGATACAGGCATCATAAAGTCACCCCAGGACACTGGGTTTGCTTCTTTTAGCTGCACATCCTGGTTGTGTTCAGGGCTCTCTGGTGCTCCCCTGAGGAGCTGTGAGCACTCAGTCTCTCATCTCCACAGTACTTTGGATTTTATAGATCCTGTCACCTCCCTCCTCTGTCAGTGTCCCTGAACAGATCATTTCTGTGTCACAAATATTTGTTTGTTTTCTTCTCTCTTCTCTCTTTTTCTATTTGTTTGTCCTTTTGAGATGGGACACCAAAACGCCACAGAGAATCCAGCACAAGGACACAGCGTTCCTTTGACAGTAACATATGGATATCCTGCTGTGTCTTAATCTTTTCCTGATAATCCTAATTAATGAATTATTGCTTTCTCTGATGTTGCTAATCACTGAGATGGTGGGGATTTCTGGACCTGGCTGTTATAACTATTAGATTTTTTTTTTCCTGCCTGGGAATATCTAGTGGACAGCCAATCATTGTATTTGAGCAGTTAGGATTGGTTTTCCCTTGGGTTCATCTTTCTGTTTGCCCCTACAGTGTTTTCCATAGAAATATTTCCACTTAATAGCTTTTAAAAAATTACCTATGAAACAAAGGCAAATGATCACTTTCAGTCAATTTCCAATTTTGAAAACAACTGAATTATTAAAATAAACTTTATAAATATTTAAAGATTCAACTGATTTTTGTTTTACGAATGTCCCGTGCTGAGAAGTCAGACAAAGCAATTAGCTTTAGAAACATGACTTAAACATGCTGCATTAATCAAAAGCTTAAATAGGTGCTGCTTTTCAGGCTGGAGGAGAAATGTTTGTGCTCTTACTCTTCGAAGAAGTAGCTGTATAATATTTTAATATTAATATTAAATATATAATAATGTAATAAGGTATAATAATTATAAACTAATGTGTATTTTCACTCTTTGGAATGTGTGCATAATCCACGTGGTTCTGTTCCTGGGGAGGAAGGTGAGCAGAGGTGCTGTCCTGCCCTCCCCACCTGTAAGGAAGCTGAAAGCTGCACTTTATATCTTTGAAGTGGCAGCTCCTAATTAATGATGTGAGCACAGGAGCTGTTTCAGCCATCAAACCCCAAGAGGAGGGGATGCCACCCTTGTGAATGATCCGGGTTTGGCAGAAGGTGGCATTGGATTTGAAAGAATTACTCTGTTTCCTCAGGAATGCAGCAGAGTATGCAGCAGGGGAAACAAAATTCTATTGTCTGACTTTTCCAGAAGAGGTGGAGAAACTTTTTGACAATTGTATTAATTTTTTTATGGGCAACACCTTAAAATCCCCTGCCACTGTACAGGTTGTCACCCGCTGTGCTCGTGTGTGAGGCTCCCAGAGTGTTCAGTGCCAAATGTGCTCCCACCAGTATCACACCCAGTGGGTATTGATTGCCAGAGGTCACATTTGTTTATCTGTATCACTGCTTTCTCTTTTTCTTTTTTTTTAGGGTCTTTTTGAGAGCCATCAACAAATTTGCAGAGACAATGAACCAGAAATTTTTGGAGAACATGGATTTTGAAGTCCAAGTAAGTATTTAGGGTTTTTAACGCGTCTGCCGGAGCCCTGCTGGTGCTGATATTTACAATACCAGATGGGCTGTGCATTCGAGTGGGGCAGGATTGGACCATCTTCCATGTGACATCAGAACTGGGCTTTCATTATTTATGATAAGGCACCCAACCAGGGTATTTTCTTCTGTAACTCTGCTCAGGACTAGCAAGCAGAAAAATACAGTTTTTTTCTTAGCCAGCCAAGTGAATTCAGAAAATCAATCTCAGACATAACACATGGAGCCTTTACCATGTCAGTGCTATGGATGTAGGACAGAAAGATCTTAACTTTGCTGATTCCTAGAGTATTTAGCACTTAGAATTTATTTTTCACTTGTAGTCTTCCCTGACAAGTCTATCTTCATCTATTTATTTTTATTAGTTCTTTCTGTCATAACTTTTAATTAGGAGTAGTTGGGGTCTTTTTGTTTTTTCAATATCATTCTGTGAATGATTCAAGTGAATTATTTCATTATGCATTTTACTATGTTTGGCTTCCTTTAGATAAAGATGAACATATCTGTTATTTTCACATTCATTAAATTGGTATTAAAATGTAAATATACTTTTAGATTCAGGATTTGTCACTAAGTGCTGCCTGATCATGGTCTGTGAAGTTATTCTGTTTCACCTTTTACATAAAGTTCAGGGCTTTATATTTTATGGTTCATCTCACAGCTTTCAATCTGTTTTAAATGATTCCACTTATGCTAAAAACTATTTGGGAATTGGTCTCTTGGTCCTCAACACAAAACCCCTCGGTCCCAAAGAGCTGCAGAGGAGCCACATAAGTGGTTACACAGGAAGTTTGAAAGACAGTAGTGAAAAGAAAGGTAAAAGATTCACACTCAGTTACAGTGACCTCAAGGAGGAAATGTAGAGCTTTTTCCTGCTTTATTTCATTAAAAACGTTTTACCTTCAAAAGGTGTGATTATAAAAAGGTATATATGTAATGTTAATTAAGATTTTTGAATCACAATGAAAGACATTTCTTCCAACAGACTTAAAATATATTTTTTTAGTAAATATCCCTGTTGGAAACTCTCAGGCCCTTGACATATTTATGATTTAATCTGTCTTAGAGCAGTTTATAACCTATTGTTTCTGTAGCACTTGATCCCTCTTTACTGCACAATGTGTCAGTAATTTTTAAAAGCAGATAACAAAGGCCTGAGAGACATCACTATCTGCAGGATACCAAAACTACACAGCCTATAAAGACTGGATCTGTCAAAGTTTTATTAAGGTGTACACTGCCTTTTGCAAACATGAAAGCAGCAGTTTGATCTGGAGCCTTTATTTCAGCTCTTTCCTGTGGCAATTCTGTGCCTTCCAAAGTGTTATCAAACAACCAGGGATGCTGTAGTTCAACACTGCACCTTGTAGTTCAAGGGGATGCATTAATGCTCTTTTATTCATGACTTGTCAAATATCTGGAGGCTCTGAGTAAGGTAAACAATGTTATAGTAAATAAGTGGTGCCCTATAAAGAATTGTAATACCCTTATAGTCTTCATAAGAGACTTTAAAGTACAAATCAAGATGTTACCTTACTTTTCTTTCACGAATAAAAGCTCTGCAAACCTTCCAAGAGTTTCCTAAATATTTAGGAATTTAAAAAAATTTAAAAAGTTGCTACTGGAGTAAAATAGGTCTGAACAGTGCAAAGCACATTGTCTAATAGCATTAATTAGAAATTTAAATTTTATTTCCCACAGTATATATCTATCTATATATATATATGTGTATTAATATATCTTGGCTGTAGGCAAACCTGAGCAGTGGTTAACTCAAAGTAGATGAGAAACTCCCGTATTTTATAAAATAATTGACCTTACAGTATAGCTGCTCTGTAGCTATATTTCTATTTTTATTTACATTCCCATAAAAAATAGAAAAATTGAGAATGGAACAAAGAAACTTGATTTTTCTATTTTGGTTTGAGAGAAAATTTGGAAGACTGTAGCTTTCATGTTTGTTAAGAGCTGCAGCCTGATAATCACACGGGCTGTTCATTCCCATCTCCAGCCCAGGAGCAAAGGCAGCCCCACACATCCCAACCCTCAGGTGCAGGAGGAGCTGAATGGGGAGAGCAGAGATGCAAATCAGTCAAAATGTTATTTAAAATAAAAAGATGCCACACTTTTAAGTTCTGCGTAAACAAGTGCGTGATTTTTACTGTTTGTAGCACGGTGTTTTCAGATCAGATTATTAAGAGCTGAAGCAAAGTCTTAATTAAAAGAAAAATTTGAAAAGCTAAATAAAGCACAGGGAAATAGATCTGAGGATTTTCACTTGGCTGAGTAGTTGCATGGCAATAAGTAGTAGACAACCAAAGCAAACAAAACAAGTCAACTGTGAAGCAATTGAGCATCTAAAAAAAGTGTGGTTTAAATCTATAGAAATGAAATGAAGAAATTTTTTGCAGCTCTGGTTGAGCTTGTTGAATGGGGAAAAGAAGGGTTCCTGGCCTCTTTCTGGTTTGCAAAGCAAATTGCTTTTTTTATTTATTCAGGTAGAAGGGAAAGAGGTGTTTCCATCTGGGGCCTGGGGAAGGATGTGCTGTGTCTGATCAAGAGGGGATCCAGTCCTCAGGTTTAGAACTCAGCACTGCCTTAAGGTTCAAGCCATAGGTTCAATGCTGAGGCTGTTGGATAGAGAGAAAAATCCCAACCCCCTGCCCAGCACAGCAGTGAAGAGCTGTTAAATTTCTTGCCTTGGCATTGTCATCACTCAGATTCACTGTCCCATTTTGGTAGGGAGCCCTTCCCTAATCCCAGAACTCTGACACCGAGGCTGTCATCGCACAGGGCAGGCAGCAAGGGCCACAGCAGGCCTTGGGCTTGGGAGTCTTTGCTCTTGGAGGTGAAAAAATCCTCTGATATCTGACGTTTTGTGCCTGCTGGGTGAGGGGGTGGTTTTCCTTGCTTTGGTTTTTTTCTTGGTTTGCACAGAGTGCACAAGGGGTGGGTTCAGTACGGCAGTGGCACTCAGGGGTTGTGTCCTGCAGAGATTCCCCAGTGTCAGCACGCAGCAAAACTTAGCACAATAAAACCAGCTCTGCCTGGAAGGCTTCTGTTATGGAATATTTACTGTTGTGCTGATAAAACAAAGCTGTTAGCTCCAGAGGAAATAATTTTCTAGGAGAGAAAAGAGTGAAATTTCATTAAGTGATTGACCAAAAATAACCCATGAAGTAGGAGTGAAGGAGAGCTCCCAATATTCATGGTGCCTACAGTACAAACAGGGACAGAATCTTGCATAATGCATGACTCTGCATTCTTCAGTACTGAACATAAACTGGAACATGAGGATTTAATGCACAGAAATCTGGAATTTCAGCAGGAATTATTGGCATAGGTAAAACCCCTCAATATTTAGCAGTTTCTATTCTATTCATATCTCTGGATTTGAAACAAGTTATTTTCTTGCATTTATGTTAGATATAAAGAGGTTATGTTAAATATTGAAACAGGTTATCTAGAAAGGCAGGGAATATTTGCTCACTCCAGGATTCTGAGGGATGAATTCAGCAGTTCACCTGTCTGAAGCAGTGTAGCAGATCTTGCCTTGGCGTGTGGAGCAGGAGCAGCTGAGCTGGCAGGTGTCCTTCCAGGTTCAGAGCTTGCAAGGAAAGGTCTGAAGGCTTGCAACTGTGGGAAGTATTCTAGCCTAAGACTCGGTATTCAGGATGACCCTGTGGAGAGAATATAAGGAGATATATTGATGGCACACAAGAAAAAAAGGCAAGCAGGTCTGAGGTTAGACTTTCCCCTGAAGACCATGACAATCAAGGTCTTACTGTTCATTTCACTTCTTGGTTGCACTTCATGTCAATAAAAAGTCTTATCAGCGTGATAGCAAATTGCTTATTTTTCCCTTTTCCATCTGTTTTGTTTCTTTGTTCTCAATATTCTTCAAAACAATATTCCCAAGGATTCCCTTAGCTGATTGCAGAGCTGTCTGAGGCAGCCGGTGTCCTCACCACCTCCACTCATTGGTGCCCCTATCAGGTCCAGGCTGGGCAGTTGTAAGAGGATTTACTGTGGGCTGCCTTTGATGTTTACTTTTCTCTGGAGGTGTAGGGTTCATTATCAGCTTCTCCTGCTAAAGACAAGGGAAATTCAGCCATTGGCAAAACATCCAGATTTAAAAGATGTTGCAGTTTTTGCTGGTTCGTATCAACAGCTCTTTAGGGGTTTGCAATTTCAAATGTGAAGCTTGGACACCATGTGCAGACCACTGCTTTGCAGCTGGGCTATTGGAGGGCAGCAGGACAGCTGCACCATCAAAAGGGGTAAATTCTGGATTTAGGGTGCAGGAGTTGAGATGGGCTTTTCAGAAGAGGCTTAACAAGCAAACAAAAATCTTTAAAATTGTGGAATATATTTTTGAAAAAGTGCTCCCTGAAAGTCACCCTGGTGTCTTTGGTTTAATTGTAACAAAAGCTGTGTGATTTTCTGTACTCATGCAATGCATTCATGGCATCCTCAAAAGCTGTCTGAGATGTCATCTGTGGTAAATAGGACCATCCCAGGACATTTCTGTTCCTGTTGGCAGCTGGTGGCATTGCAAGGTGTCTCCTCTGTCCAGGACAGAGCATCTGCACCCTGCTGTGACTGTCACCTCCTGGCTCCATCACCCTTGGTTTCGAGTCCTGCAGGAGGAGTTTCCATGCAGAGAAGGAACCCACTCACCCTTGGTGCCCCTGAATTCCTCATGGATTTTGTGCAGGATTCTCTGGGAATGTCACTGGTTGGGGATGGCAGCTCTGGCACCTTCAGGGCAGGCACAGAACAAACCCAACATTTTGTTGTGCTGGGCACAGCTGTTGTAGAGCCTCTGCTCTGGAAATGCAGCGTTACTGATTCCTGCTCCCCCCTCCCTTCCCTCCATTAGCACTACATTTACAGGGCATTAGAAAGGATTATTACATCTGTGCTGTTACAGCAATTATAATTCATATATTAATCACCTATGCCACTGAAATTTATTATAAAAGGCATAGTCCAAAATCTAATGTCAGTATGATCTGACAGAAAATGCTTATTTTTTGTGTTTTCCTACCCTTCTTGCATGAGCTATCCTCCATTAATAACTCAGCAGTAATGAAATATATTTCAACATCACAAACAGAATTATGCAGCTTTTTATGTTAAAATCTTCTTTTAGAAACCCCAAAATCAAAACCCTCAGTGGGAAAAATACACACTGCAAAAATCTATGTAAGACAGTGACAAACATTGCAGAAACAATGCAGAGGTTAATAGGGAATGAAACCACTGGGAAATTTAACTAGAATTAATTGTACTGGAAATATTAAAATGATATATTTTTATTATTATATATAATATTGCACATTTGAAATTTATCAAATTACAGAGTTTGAAGTTCATATTTGATCCTTCCACTAGAAAATATCAGCTTTCAGAGGAGTATGAAGGAGGAGGCTGCAGCCTTTACTCCTGGGTGAATTTTTAGGATAACTACCAAATATCTTCTTTGTGAGATGGCTGGAAATTTCCTTCTAAATTAATTCCCCATTTTCCAATTCAACAGATGTCTGAAACACCTTGGAGTGTTATTGTGGGGATAAGTGAAAACAAAACATGTCTCATAAGAATAATTTTTGCATTTTTTAAATCTGTTTCCATTTTATTTTACTTTAGAGAGAAACTACTTTGTCTTGTAGAGTTTTAGACTTAGTTTCAGTGCTTAAAATCTTGTGAGTCCTTAATTTGAATATGGTATTGAAAGGGAAAGGATCCCATTTTTTTCAGCCATTTTGGGGCACTCTGAGGATGGAGGGACAAGTATTTTATAAATAAGATTGAGTCTTTAGGGTGTGTCTCTGACAAAGGTGGCACTGAACTCGGAGCTTTTAAATTAAATAAGAAACCATTTAGGAATAAACTTTCATTTTTCTCCCCACAGTCTAGAACAATTTGAGAAATTTTCCATTTCACTGCTATAATTGACACATACAGAGTGTGTGCCCTGCACATCAATAAACAAGGCTTCTCAAGGGGCTGAGAGCTCCACACTGCTCAAAATAATCTCTTAAAATATTTGGGGAGAGAGTAAAAGAGGCCTTTCAGGGCATAACCAACATTTGTCCTGAGAGCAAGGCTCTGAACTGGCTGCAGAATTGAGCTGTGTGTGCAGCAGGGCCAGCTCTGATCCCTCAGGCACACACAGAGCCCTCCAAGGGCTTTGGAAGGAGCAGCTCTGCTCAGCAGATAAATTAATATAATTTAAATTAACATAAATTAACAGCAGGATCACCTATAAGTTATAGAGGAGGTTTGAGAATTGTATTTATTATGAGAAATGTCTGTGGTTCTGGGTGTGGTTTTGTGTGTTGGGATCTGTTTTTCCTGGTTGCTTGCACATCAGAGTTTTCCAGGCTACAAAGGACAGAAGCCACTTAAGTTTTGAGGGAACATTTTGTTTCCAGGCTGTTTAGTGTGGATTCCCAACCCAGGCTTATATAGCACCATCCAAAATGAAGAGCTCTGTCCCATGTTTTGTTCCATCCTTTGAATCACCACTGAATACATTTCCCATTGCCTTCTGCTCTCTCCCTGAGCCCTAGCACTGCTGTTAGCTACAGCTGCACTTTTAAGTGTTTAAAGCTGCTGCTGACTGTCTAAAAGCTTCTGAAAATTGTATTTCCTTCCTTAAATTTGTGTTTCCTAGGGAAGTTTCTCTTTTCCCTTCCCATTTCTAGTGTGTGAAAAGTGTGGAACAGATAGCTTGCTTTCAGGAATGGAGGGTTGTGCACTGTAAGCACAGAGGCTTTTTGTCTACTTCAAGTACAGACTCATTACTATCAGCTGTTACTTAGGGATGTATTTTGTCCTTCTTTCATGTGGAGAGCTCTTCACAAATTACACTGGAATTTCATACAATGGTTGAATTAGGATCCTAAGAGGAGGCAGGAGATGCCTTTTTGAAGTGGTGCTCAAATGCAGTGTAATTACATCGGTGCCTTTAGCTCCAGTTTAAGATCCACCACCATGTAACGTGTTCCCCCAGTCCTGCTTTGGTTCAGGGTTTAATGTTGTTGGCTAATGAATCTCATGTGAATCTTTTTTTAGCAATATTTATTCAGCTGCTCTGTTATTAAGAGCAAATGTGTAGTAGTGGTTATTAAAATTCATCTTTCTTGCTTTTCTGCTAATTGCATAATACTAATGATGTACATCTCTGCATAATATAAAAATCTCATATTGCTTGCATCATTTGGTTTCATAAATTATTCTGCATTATGCATCATTTAATATTATTCCTGCTTTCCTCAAAATTATTATAATTTCCTTATATTCAATTTACAGCTGTGGAACAACTATTTTCATTTGGCTGTGGCTTTTATTACTCAAGATTCACTACAGCTAGAAAACTTTTCCCATGCAAAATACAACAAAATCCAGAACAAGTAAGCAAAATATATCCTTTAGCTAATATCTTTAATTTTTTAGTAAAATGATAAAAAAGGTAATGATAAAAATACCTTTCCTATTCCTTTCCTCCCAGATATGGAGATATGAGACGTTTAATTGGCTTTGCTATCCGTGACATGTGGTACAAACTTGGTGAGTAGCAAACCTGAGCTTCACTGCAACTGAATCTGTCACATGTTTGTTCCATTGAAAAATATCTGACATGAAGTGCTTTTGTAAATATTTCTGCTGTTTGAACTTAAAATATGTTTTCACTCCTGTGATTAAGCTTGCAGCCAACATAAGATACAGTTGGATTACTGCCAGGTTTGTATTTAAAAGAGAACTCACAACCTTCTCTCAGATTTCAAACATGACTGAAATCAGATCCCTTTTTTGTAGGATTGACACTGGATGATTTTCCCTGAGAAAGTTACTGCTCAGCCTGAACCTACAATTCAGCAAATTGGAGACTCAAATTTGGAATCCATTTGGATTAAAATTCAAAAAAAGTTTTTACATTTCTCATCCAGCCAGGTTCTGCTGCTCCTCCTTTGAGAGTTTCTCATTAATTCCTTTGGGATCATTTCTTATTAACTGAACTTAGGTAGAATATTTGTTTTATCTTGGAAAATTTTTGCATGGCATTGGCACTGAAAATTCACATGGCACGAATCAGAGAGGAGCATCAGACTCAGAGCACTCCTCAGTTTGGAACAAGTCACACATTTGTTGCTGAGAATTTTTTTGTCTCCTCCAAGCTTCAGGCAGCACTGAATTAATTCAGATAAGAGAGATAATTCTGCGTGGGTTTAGCAGCTGAGTTCTGTGGATGGTGTTTCTGTTACTGCTCCTGATTCTGGAAATTTTTGGAAAACCAGTAATAGTTTTCTCCTTCGTAGAAATGTTACTCCATGTGACATCACCGTGCTGTGCTCTCCTGCTGGTAGAATTTGGGAGGTTCTTAGGCTAATTTATTACTTTTTACTCTAAATAATTTTAAGGAGATGTCAAAAACTGAAAAATCAAATTCTTCACTGAAAATATCAACTCCTCTGGCATTCCTGCTTGTTCCTGGCACTGCATTCTAGCACCTTAGAAGGAGACAGTATCCATTCACATGCCCCCAGCTTTTGAGAAGAAATGAAGTGACTGAGTTGCAAGATTTGGCCAACACAAATAGCTTAAATGTTACTTTAAATGATTGCAACTCCTAGATGTCTTCCTAAAATTATTTGGTTTGCTCCTCAAATATTCAATTTTTGGTTTTGTTTCAGGCCAGAATAAAATTTGCTTTATTCCGGGGATGGTTGGGCCCATCTTGGAAATGACTCTTATTCCAGAAGTTGAACTACGAAAAGCCACAATCCCAATTTTCTTTGACATGATGCTGTGTGAATATCAGAGGACAGGAGAATTCAAAAAGGTAATTACAAGTGCTCTGCTTGAAAATGCATTTAAATGTCATGTGCTCAGTATTTCTGGTAAATGTTTGTGGAGTGAGATTTTCTGCTTGCACAGAGTGAAATCCCAGGTATTAAGAACCAAAGAAATAGAAAGTGTTGGATCTCCAGAGTGACTTAGTTCAACTTAGGCAAAACTTGACAGCAACAAATGGAACAGCAAAGAGGAGATCACAGGATTTTTATCCAAGTTTTCAGGATTTTACTGGAAAAGGTTTTGAGCAGCAAGACTTACATTGAAGTCAGCCCTTCATTAAGTAGGAGATAGAATTAAATGACCTCTAGAGATCCTCTATAATCTAAATATTTCCTTATTCCCCTTCCTTGTGACAAAGATATTGGTAAGCTAAAACTTCCAGGTTTTAGTACAGAGTACCTGACAGGAGTAGCAGTGAATAGCTAATTATATGTTATCAAATTTATCAGGAAACTTAGCAGGAAATTCTTATCAGATAACTTTTCTAAATTGTTAATGTGATTAAAAATAATCACCGTGAAGCAATGAAATTCCTGGAGTGTTTTTGGCAGTCATTTTGAAAAGGAAAAAGAATTTTTAAGTCACTATTGTGAAATATTTTTGATTGATGGAATAGAAATTGTAATCAAAATTTCCTGCCAGTGCTCCCTGTGTCTGCCTGGGCAGTGGAGTATCCATCCCTGTCTGACATCTCCATTCTCTCGAGCTCTTTGGGCATGGACTCACCTTGTTCTGTGTTTGCACACTGCCTCCCACAGTAAATTATGCACTGGATATTCAGCTTTGTAGTTACACAGATAATTAATTCAGAACAGTCTGTGTAAGGGAAAATGACAAACAAAAAGGCATAATTTTAGGCACATGTAAATATAAATATCTTGTATACCCAGTTATGTTTAATACTTTAAATCATTTGGGGCATTTCTGTGTCAATGAAGTGTGGAACAAATGAGCAGATGGAATTTCCATTTTGGTCTGTATTCCACAGTGCAAAGCTTTTGGTTCAAGGCCAAGATTAAAAACCACTTTGTTTCTGTGCATCTGTTCCCTCTATGTCCTGATAGTCCCATATTTGCCTTCTTAAAAATGCTTTCCTGCTCATGGCTTATACCTCATCTCTTGGGAGAGACACAGATCTGTAGAGCCCAGGAATCCTGAAAACTCATCAGTCATCCTGCCTGACACCAGGAGCAGCAGCCTGGGAGAGGCCAGGCACTCTAGTGCCCACTGAATCACTTCTCCTGCCATAAAAATAAGTTTCAGGTGGTATTTTACACTGCCAAGGAACAAGGACATTGGGTTTATTGCAGCTTAAGGAAAAGGGGGAGTTTTCATCAGATGGTACAAAATCTATCTCATAATTGAGCAGCTGAGTCTCATTGGACTCTAATGCTCTTCTTTAGGAATTGTGATCATTTGCTCATCAAGAATCATGGTGTTTGTCCTCTTCTTTGCTATGGATGAGATAATTAAGATAAAAAAACTTGCCTCTGTCGGTTTAGCCACTCTGGTAAGTTTTTTAAAGTATGTATTTTAAAGGAAAGGCACATTAAGTTTTATGTTTTAAAATTGTTACCACCTTAATTTAAAGGAGAAAATAAGTAATATGAATGGATAATTATTGGATGCACAAACACATAAACTCCAGGATTTGGTAGTAGGCAATTTTCATTTGCAAATTGACATTTAGTAATATAAAGGATGTTTTTTTAAGCTTTAGTATAAAATTTTGAGAATGACAACATGTTATTTCAAGAGTGCCTGGGGCACTCAGGAGCCCAGAATGACATTCACTTAAAACATAATTTTGTGGAACTTTAAAAATAAATAATTTATTTCTAATCTAATCTTCTCTAATGAGAGAAGAGGGGGGAAAAAGCACAAGCAGAAACATCTTTACGAGCTGAGCCTGTACCAGCACAGGAACCAGAGCCTGTCTGGTACCTCCCACACGATTTAATAACCTTTCCCAAAATTCCTGTCTCAGTTAACATGTCCTGGTGCTGTGCTGGGACAGGGCTGTGCTCTGGGGGTACAGGGGGTGTGCTGGGGCTGGGGGCTGTTCCTGCTGTGTGCACACAACATACAGGCAGTGAGGATATAAAGGGGTTTAAATTTATCAACCAAGAATTTTATTTAGCTTTTCTAGGAAATCATCTAATCCCAGAGAAAACAAAATTCCACCTGTGGTTGTCTCAAGAATGAATTGCTCTATACATTTATTTAATGGCTTGGAATCTGTATGTAGGTGTAGGACACCATATGATATTTTCTTGCAATCCTTTCTTCTGCTTTGCACATGTAATTTCCATTCACCCAGAGCAGTGTTACATAAACTCTTAATTTTAACTCTAATTGAAGATGTAGAGAGGGAGCCATTAATATCTACTAATTTTAGCTATTGAGGCTGTGCCTGTCATGAGCTCAGAGAGCTGGGAATCTTGGAAAGCAAATTTATTCCTCTCAGTGTCTGTGGAGAGACTCAGTCCTGTAAATGGATCCCTTCCTCCTTCAAATAAAAAGAGAAGCTCATTGCTTATGTGGGACAAGCTCATTGCTCTTGTGTTGGACACACAGGGTTAAAAAAGTCCTCCAGATGCTGATAACCCTTTCCTTTCCCTGAAAGATCAGGTTGTGCATTTTATTAAAGATTTCCCAAAGGAAGACACACCATCAAGTGAGCAACCTCATCCTGCTTGTTCTAACTGTGATCTCAGGCCAGGAGTTAGAAAATGCTTGCTTAAAAAAACAAACAAACAAACAAACAAGGAAAATTAGCTCTTTGCAGAGTAAATAAAAATATCGTTTAAATAAACATGGATTTGAGTTACATTGCGGATTTAACTTGGCTTAGGAAAGATTAATTCATCTGTGTTTATATTTTTGTTCAAATAAATCATTCTGTTTGTGTTTGGTATTTTCAGTTTAGTGTCTCTCGTGGGTTCTGCCAATTGCTGGAGCCATCTGGGGAAGTTTTCTGTGTTTGCTTTCCTTTCCTGGCTGCTGTGGGGCTGTGTCAGAAATCAGTGCTGGCTGCTGCTGTGTGCTTGGCTTTCCACACTCTGTGCTAGGGGACAGCCCTGGTTCTGGGGCAGAGTCCTGTTCTTCTGAGCTCTCACAGGTGACTGAGAGTGACTGGGGTGTCCTCAGAGAGCTCCTCTGGCACAGGAGATTTACCTGCTCTAAACAGCCACATTTCTTTCTCTCAGCTCTTGAAATCTGATTGTGTGTAAGGGTTTCAGATGTGATCTCAGCAGCAGAGGCTGAGTTTGTGCAGCCTGGGGCTTCAGAGAGATCCACGTGGAAAATATTTTGTGCTTTGGTATCAAGGTGTGCTCAGAACTGGGGAGATTCCTTGGATCTATTAGAGAAGCAGGTGGGTTTAAAGCTAAATTGGTGCCAGTGACAATTAGGCACACTCTGTTTAAGTGAGAGGAGAAAGACACTTCCCAGGGCTTAATTTTGTTGCACAGAACCATTAAAACTTTATTCCATATTTCTGCCAACTTTTTTATTTGTTTTGATCCAAGCAGCTGATTTTTTCTCTTCTTGCAGCTTGTTGAGAAACTACAGGAAAGATGCTTAGGAAGAGTTTTGTTGTTCAGGTCCAGGAATGTGAAATTATTGCCTCTTTGAGAAGTAATCAATTCTCTACCTGCTGAATAAGTACTAGGAAGGATTTAAGAGGTGGATTTACCTGGTGCTCGACCTGCACTATATTCACAGATTTGTCTTACTGCAGTAAGCCCACAGAAAATGGCTGGATTGGATGTTTTTGCTCAATATTTCCTTGTTCTCAAGCTGCCATGCACCTGTGTTACCCACATTAAATACTAATACACATCCTGCTTGCACATAAAAATGAATTCAGAGCCCTTTAAACTTCTATTTCAGCCAGGATGAGACAGAGCAATTTCACTTTTTTCTGTTAAGCTATTTTTCAATGATAGCTCTTTATTCTCTAATATTAGTATAGCATGTACTGTTCAACAGACAATCTTCCATTTGTATTCTAATTACAGAGAAAATATTAATTTTTGAGCAGCAAAACCTGTGAGTAACAAAGAGGTGGGAATGGCTCCTTCCTCCCTGCCCCTTTCCAGAGCAGGCTGTGCCTGCACTGCCACTGCTCTGAGCCCAGGTGTTGCTCTTGGTGTGAGCAGTGGAGAAGTTTGGCTGCTCAAGATGCTGTTTCAAAGCTCCTTGAAAGAAGCAGCAGCCACTTTAATTTCTGCCTCGAGAGTGGCTGGCAGGATTAGGGTGACCAATAGATCTGGGCTGGACACTGGAGGGAAGATGGGAAAGTTCAGCCTTTTGTTCTTGAAAAATGATGAATCATTTTTCTGGGTGGAGAGTTTGAATCATGACCTACTTGAAGGAAGTACATCTAGTAACATATTTTAATTTAGAATGTCATGTTCTTTAAAACTGAAGAAATTCTAAAAAAAAAAACTGAAGAGATGTGTGACCTGCTTGGAGCTCTAAGAGGAAGGACTGATTTCCTCTGTGTAGCCCTGGCTTGGCTTCAGCTCAGAGCTGAATGTTTTGATGAGCATATATTGAAATAAGGTGAAATATTTTGCATTGCAGTTATCTGGAAGTACCACATCTGAAATACTACAGCAATTCTTTGTACCATGAGAGGCTTCCAGTTCTCTGATTGGGATGATCTGGATCCCAGCCTGCCAAAACTCTCAATTACACAGAAACACTCCAGGGAGAAACAGAATTATTCATGTACTGACAACTGTGTGAAATTTTGTATCAAAGAAGGTGAAAACTTGCTGCATTAGCACAGTAATGAATTCTGTCATTTTTACAGTGGTTTTAATAATTAGATCTGTGTAAAGCAACTGAGCTTTATTTCAGTGTAGATCTCCACTAATGCTCTCCCTGTGCCTCTTGATGTGTTAATGGCTTGTCAAGAACCCTGAGGTAGATCTTTCCTACCTTCTGAACAGGGTGCAGTTGTTTGCATCAGGACAAAGACTGTCTATAGCTGCAACAGACTCTGAGCTCGTGTCTCACCTGCCCAGTGCAGGGGGAGCTTTGTGAAAATCTGTATCCAGGCTTTCAGCCCTGCTAAAAGCCCAGACCAGAATATAGCCAAGAGTTTAACCTTTGGGAATATGTGGCATAATTATACAAAGGTACATTTTTGATGCCCTGTTGAAGTGTGTTGACCTCTGGATAGCTGCTCAGTGTTTTGATTTTTTCTTTCTTTATTAGTTTGAAAATGAAATAATTTTGAAGTTGGATCATGAGGTGGAAGGAGGACGAGGGGATGAACACTACATGCAGTTGTTTGAGTCCATGTAAGTAGTGCATGAGAATAAATAGAAATAAATAGAACAAATGCCTTCAGGATGTGTTTCTATCTTATTGCTCCCATTTCTCAGGTTGGTAACTTTGCCTAAAATAGAATCTTAGCAACTTTTTCATGAAGCCACTGGAAATACCATAATGCTTCACTGCACCTGGTTTACTTTGCAGTTTTGTACATTGAAATTATTTTCCTGGTTGCTTTTCATTGTTCTGTGCTTGAGCTAAATTATGAAGAAGTTATATCTAACCTGGATTTTTACATGTCTAGATTGGTCTCCAAGAGATTATTCAGACAAGTCTGAATTTAAATAAGGCTTTGTGATGTCATGTTTTACTTCCTCAAATCTAGCTACCCTGTGTGGGTTGTATCTCTGGGTAGGGGTAGCAGTCTTTGCAAAGTCACATCTCTCATCGGATGAACCATGAAAGCTTTGGGTACACACACAGGGGACATAAAGAGTGATTTATTCTGTTTCTTTTTTCAGCAGCTTTTATCAAATTTGAATGTTTCTATCTAGCTTCCTTCAGGATTTCCCTTAGGGTAAACAACCCCAGTATTTTAGTTTATTATACAGAATGTTTTCTGGACGTTCCTACAACGTTTCCATCTGGTTTGAAACATTACATTGCCTTAAAGCTGGAGAGAGTGTTCAAACTGAGACTTTATCTATGCAAAAAGCAAAACTTTCCTCAGATCTCGTGTATGTGACCCTTTGAAGTTCACTCTTTCTGAGCTGTGTAACATTATTTGCTTGCCTTGTTTGCACTTTGCTCTTTCATTCCAGTGCTTTTCTTGGAAAGTGGCACTATCCAGTTAAAGCCCATCTTTCAGCAGTGCAGTCAAGGAGTGTCATCAAACACAGTGCAGAGCTTTTCATCTCCTGCCTTTGCAAGGCCCCCTTCTCACTCTGACAAATCTGCCTTTTCCCCTCGGTACTGTCCCACTTTCTAGAAAGCCTCAAGTTCAAAGTTTCCACATTTCTAAAGATGACAATTCATCTTATCTCCAGATTTTGTTGAATGGCACCTGTAGATGGAGTGTTGAAGCAGAGGCTGTGACCTGCCTGGTAGGACCTGTTCTCTCAGTTTGGTTCAAGCCTTCCTACATTTACACCTTTCAAAGCAGGGATTCCAAGCCTCTGTCCCCAACTCCCTGCTCCAGATGGAAGGAGACCCAGTTAAATTTGCCTCTTCATTTATTCATTTGTTCATTTTTCATTAGCTGATCTCCTAGAACTGGCTGCAGTCCTGCACAGTTCCAGGTGCCCCCTGAAGGCAGATATTCAGCATCACTCAGTGTCTGCTGTGTCTCTGCTCACCTCTGCAACCAACATTGCCCACGCTGGTGCTGGCTGGGAATGTCTCCATGCCCATAATAATGAACTAAACACATTCAGCAGAAGTTTGACTAATCACTGCCTTACATTTGTCTCTAGACCTGAATGTGAGTGTGGCCCATGAGGGGTGGTGACCTGTCCCAGGCAGTGCCCAGGGGATGTGGGACAGGTGAGAGGTTGTTCTCAACAGGCAGAGTAGACAAAGCTGCCCTGCCTGGGGAGATGCAGGAGAATCAGTGCAGCTCCAAGAACATAATCTGTGCCATTCCACTTGTCCTCAGGCTCGGAAAATGAGTTCTGGCGTGTTTTAGTTCCTATACAAGCACAACAGGAAATGGCACTTGGCAGCTTTCCAGTTCCCCATGCTATGCAGTTGTTTTTTTTCCAGCTTTATTATAAATATTTTTTTTATTTAAAATTTTCTATTTTTTTTCAAACTCTGTTTAAAAATTCAAAGGTTTCTTGCTCCCTCCTGGGGATAAAAAAATCTTCTGAAGTTTTGTGATCCTTTTTATTGGGATTATGGTATAAAGCTGAGCAATACAACTTTTTGAATCTTGCCTCAAGAGACAGGAATTCTTCTCTCCTGTTCTTTTTGTAGTTCTTTATGTGGCCTCTGGTTCACCTTTCTTTAGTGACTGGAGTTATGTATGTATTTGGGTGAGATCCAGCAATAGCTTGTAGTTTATGTCAATGTTTTTCTGCTTGTATTGGGAAGAAATGTGATATCTTGGTGTTCATTGTGCAGTCAGGGAACGTTCACAGCCTTGTTTGCTGTTACTCCAAGGGAACCTGTGGCAGAAATCCATAATTGTCACTTGAATGGTGGCTGTGCTTCCTTCATTAGCGTCTCACACTGTTTCTGCTACTTGTAGCTGTAAAATAACACCATGTTCCTGTATAATATTCCAGACTCCTATGTGTTTCTGAGGCTTTCTTACTTTCTTTCCCACAAACATCTTTTAATGTGCTCCAGCCTTTTCTGTCACTTGTCAGCTCTTCAGCCCCTTTAGTGTTTCCATTCCGTTTACAGTGTATTTTATAAGCCATGTGTCAGTTTTTGATTTAAATATTTCACTTCCAGACCAGTCAGACAAGAGCAATTGGAGTATTTTTGTTTTATCTGCTGGCCTCTGCCCCTCCTACCTTAGAAAATATAAATGTTCTTTCAGACATCCACATATACATTCCCTCTGTGTCAGGACTCCACTGGAGCTGCACAATCCAAGGAATAAACTTTAGATTCTGCTTTTATTTTCCTCGAGTTGGAACTTTATTCCTGGGAATTCTGCAGAGGTTCCATTCTAGGCCAGAGCTTCGAGGATTTCTTTGCAACTGAAGTCAATATGAATATGTATTTTCTGAAGAAGGTTCAAATAATTATGAGAAGTAAAAAAAAATTGTTTTGCTGTTAATTAAAATAGTATATTTTTTAATTAGAGTTTAAAAAAATATTGTGCCTAATGATTACTAACAATTTATGTTTTTTTACCTGGGTGTCTGGAAAACAATGTAGATGTAGAGCTCAATTGATAATTGAGCACTAAGAGGTCAGAACCTTCCCAGCTACCAACACAAAGCAGGACTGCCTTAGGGAAAATTAATTATATCTGTGCCTCACCCAATGCTTGTATCTATAATTATGTATTTGAAAATATATATATATGTATGTATGTGTGTATATAAATATATATATTATACCAAAAAAATGCAGTTTGTCAGAGACATCCCAATGGAAAACCAGAATGTTAAGCAGAAGAAACAAAAGAAAAGCAAAGAAAGAAATAATTTCTCATAAGCAAAGAAAATACTCCTTAAAGAGATGCAGGGAATCAGTTAATGATGTTTAAACAGTTAAATGTTATAAAGCTCAGACAATAAAGTGAAATCTCTACTCCTAAATAATTTCAGCACTTTTTAGAAAGAGTATATGCTAATGTTTTGTTAAGGTAAATTGAAACTGATGATGCCAAAATATGAATTTCCCTTTCCTGTATTTTTATCAAAAGAGATCAAGCCGCTCTTTTCAGTCTGCAGAAAGTTGATTGTTTTTGCTTATTTCTCAAAGTAAAATTACTCTGGTGATGTCTTTTTTGAGCTAAAATTGTAATTTTTGTTCATTTGAACTTTTACTCACGTGTAAGAGTAAAAAGAGAAGGAAAGCATTTTTGTGTTTTATGCTGAGGAAAGGAAGGTGCAAAATTTATTGCAATAGTGTGATATTTCAGGCTTGACTTTGTGATAGCAGATGCAGATTTCTCTGTCCTGAAGCTTTGGCCACATCCTTGAATTCAAAATTGTTTTCAGACAGGAAAAGTAAATGTTTCTTTTATTTGTTTTCCTTTTTATTTATATGCCATCTGTCATCTGAATATCTAAATTACCAACTCACAGAGGGAATTTCCAGTGCATTCTGCAGTTGACTTAGGCCTAATTCGGAATTTGCCAACAGAATGGTACCAATATTTCTGTATTTGCAGCCTAACAGAGTGTGCCAAGCAGCACCCTGGCATTTCCAGCCTGGTGGAAAGCTTTGTGAGCCTGGTGAAAGGGCTCCTGGAGAGGCTGCTGGATTATCGTGCTGTGATGAGCGACGAGAACAAGGACAACCGCATGAGCTGCACCGTGAACCTGCTGGTACATTCTCTCCTGGATTCTGGGGAGAGGAGGGGAGAACATTAGAGTCCATTTATTAAACATGAAGCTAAATCTTCCTGGGGGCAGGAGTGAGTGACAATGTTCTGTAGTGATTTAAACTCTGGGGTAAGAGATTTTTTTATCCCTTTGCACGGATATATGAGCAAGTCTGAAAGCAGCGCTCACCCATTTGTCACTTGGTTTGTATCCTTTGTCCACCTGGATTCTGTGGATAAATAATGAAGTTTGCTGCTCATGTACCTGTACCTCTTGGCAGACTTAATGGGACAGTGGGTTCCTGACAGAGTCAAACTGTGATGAGGAGCTGACCCACTTGCTGCTTCAGCATCTCAATAGTTAGACTTTTCAATGTGGGCAGGAAAGCTGCAAGGCAACTTTGCAGTCAGGTGCCAAGAGGTCTGAGACTCTGACCTTGTCCTAGGCCACTCTGTCTTCTTTTCTATTCCTGTTTTGTAATGAGGATATCACATAGAGAGATTCTCCGTCCAGGAAATTCCTCACAGCTGAGGAGGAACCTCTGCCACCTTTAAATATTACACACTCTGTTCCTCAGTAATCATTGTCCAATTTTTGCAGCTCCTCAAGAGACCATTCTTGTCATGCATTTTGCACAGCCTTAGCAATATGCATTCCTACAAACATGGTATGGTGACAAAAAATGAGCTTTATTCCTGGAACTGGTCCCTTTCGAGGTATTGCACAACAGCACTCCATAACTACATCTGCTTCAGTACATACCAGCTTCCACCAAGTGTAGCTGGAGCATGTGTTTTATTCTGTTAATGCATTTGGATTACCGTATTTTCCTCTTCTCCAGTAGAAAAAGCTTCAGTAATAATCCTATTATGAACTAGGAGAAATATATGTATGTATAAAACCATACATATAACTAATAAAAATATTAATTGAAGAAGTAGCTCCAGGTTTAAACTTCAGATAGTCTGTAAATAATCTACTTTTCATGCTTTCTATGCTTTCTAACTACCAAGAAAAGCAAAACCTCAGTCTATGTATACATATATATATAGCATTTTATTAAAGGACATTAGGAGGTAATTTTAAATATTTTTGTCCCTAGAATTTCTACAAGAACATTAACCGTGAAGAGATGTACATCAGGTATGGCAGCCATTCTATTGGATCTCTTTTGGAGAGGGTGTTTAATATTGTTTTGTGAGTTCTGGTTTTATTGTTGTGCTTGAATTTCTCTATTTATTGTTACTTTTCCATCCCAAATGGCTCTGTGGCTGCCCTGGCCTCATCTGCATTCTCACACTGTTAGCTTAGCCTTCAGCAACTGGGAATCTGTGCTATGTATTCAGCAGCAGCATTTCTTTCCACAAGAATTAACTTTTAATTGATCAAATCACTCAACATTCATTGTCTATAGTTAAAAATTAAGAAAGTGCTGATAGATTTGGGGTTTCAGGGAGGGTGTATCACACATTTAGGATGGCAGAAAAAACATTCTGGTTTTGTGGAATGGCCCAGTCTGCTGAGTCTCCTTCAATAAGCAACACTCCATGGGCAGGGTTACAGCTGAGCCATTTTCTGTGGGGACTGCAGCAACACAGGTAAATTCCTACAGATGTGCCATGGCTTCTTGCACTCTCCAATGCCAAACTCCTGCAGATGTGCCATGGCCTCTTGCTGCCTCCAATGCCAAATTCCTGCAGATGTGCCATGGCCTCTTGCACTCTCCAATGGCAAATTCCTGCAGAAGTGCCATGGCTTCTTGCACTCTCCAAGAGTTCTGCGTGTGGGCTGCAGCAGATCTTGCTGCTTCAAAAGCTCTGTTTCCTGCATGTCCTCTCCTACAAGATCTGCAGAATAAAGGCCAGAGTCCCAGCTGAAATGAGCCCTGGAGGTGATTCAGAGCTCACCCTGGAGCTGTGAGTGGGAGCGGCCGGGGGAACAACGCTCCCTCTGCGGGCATTGCTGAGGGGAGAACTTTCTGTCGGGCTGGCAGCTGGGGATGGGAGTGCCTTGGACTGCCACAGCAAGCTGTCAGAGCCCCTGTGGCTCAAAACTCCTGGTATGAGCTAGAGGAAGGGATGCAGTTTTCTCCCGGGCTGCTGTAGATACAGCTTAAGCCCTGTGGTGGGCAGTGACCGTGCTGGAAGCAGCAACGCTGCCATGGGGATCAAGGAGAACATTCACCAGAGAACAGCTCTTCTGTCCCCAGCAGCTCCTGCCTTGTACAGGGACTGCTTTGCCTTTCTGGGCTGGTATTTTCTCCTTTCTGCTTCCTCCTGTTACCTGCTGTGGTTGCCTCTGTGTACATGAAGAACGTGTGCCTGCAAGAGAGAGGTGCTGCAGGCCAAGGAAACTGAGGCAGCCTCCAGGGATATTGGGCTCGGAGGTCTCCCTTGGACCTGGGGTGCAGCAATTCCTCCTCTCTGAGGAGGAGCTGACTGCAGCTCCCTGGAGGAGGATGGCTCTTCCTCCTCTCAAGCACAAAGTTCCAGCACACAGAAAGAACACAGCAAAGTGGGAACAACCAACCAGAGCTTCAACCCCCTCTTGGTGTCCTTGAAGACTCTTTGGGGAGTCACAGTGTGACATCCACGGAGTTTCCTGTTATCTGGAACATTTTGACACTCAATATTCCAGTCGTGTCAGTCTCCAGTCTAATCCTTGCTGTCTCCTCTATCAGGTATTTGTATAAATTGCGAGATCTTCATTTAGATTGTGAGAATTACACAGAAGCAGCATATACCCTTCTACTCCATACGTGGCTCCTGAAGGTTAGATTTTCTAAACTCAATATATAATTAAGCTTTTGCAAATTTCAATTTGATATTCTTAACTGAATGTCTTAATCTCTGAGTTATTTTCCACAGGGGTATTCAAGATTCTTGTTAGAAATATTGCAGTAGGTCATACAAAATTAACTGTTGAAGTTATATTTTCAATAGGTGATTAAAAGCCATATACTGCTGAAACTAAATATGGTAGAAAAATAGTTTTCTTTCCAGTGAGAACTTTGTGTACAAGTGTAGTTTTCATTTTGGTAATTTCTTACTATCCTAAACATAACAGTTATGAAAATTAAACACAGTTCCAGCTATCACAAAGGGAGATCTAATTTTTAATTTAAATAAAATGGATTACATAACCAAGTTGGCTTGTTTTAGTATCTGGTAATTAATTATCTTTCACAATAACTATTGTTCATTATCAATGTAACAGACTGTACCACTTACAATGGGCAGTAAGATCAATTTCCACTACAAGGACACATTCCAAATTTAAATGTTCTTCTGCAAAAATCTGATCTTTCTTGTGGAATTTACTTTAGTGCAGAACTATATACATTTTTGCTATTCTGCTTAAACTTCATTTTGATTTTCTGTGATCCTACAAATATGAGATATATTGTCTGTATTGGTATAGACAAAGATAATAGTATATGAAATATTTTAATACAAAAAAATCTAACTCAAGTCAGTCAAGATGATAGTACTGGAAAAAAACACCTCATTTTCTCGCGTGGAATTTTTTATAAAATTTGTAAGTGGGGCAAGGATGGGCAGGCATAACATTTTAAAATATTTTTTTAAATATTCTGCCTAGTGCTGGTTATCACATGAAATACACCTTTTGTCTGAAGAGGCAGTGAAAGCAATCACTGCACCTTTCCCAGTTTGTCTGTGGATGGGTAAAAAAGAGTTGGGAACAAAACACTTAGAAGAGCCCAGGGGACCAGACCTCGTGGGAGGAGGGACTTTGATGTGGAACATTGAACTGGAAAATTCTTTTTGATGTGTTCTCATCCTCAGTGGTCGGATGAGCCATGTGCACCCCAAGTTATGTCAACAGAGTTCCAGTGCTCACAGACCTACAGACACCTGAAAGAGAATTTGTATGAAAAGATCATAGAATACTTTGACAAAGGAAAGGTAGGTCTGGAGAGTTCTTCCCCTCCAAACCTCTCTGCTGCGCTACTCTGAGTACTCGTGTTTAATGAATGTGCCCTGTATAAAACATTTGTGAGGAAAAGCTGCTTTGAAATGTGGGTCAAGCAAAAATTGTGTCCTGGAGGCTTATTCCCAGAGCATATCCATTCCATAGGAATATGTTGTTTCCATGACCTCATTCACAGAGAAAGAGGGTTAATGTCTCAGCACATCGTCACGAGCATCTGTCAGGCACCATGAAACACAATAAAATATGGTGAATCTTCTTTCCCTTACAAAGAAAAGGACTACACAGATTCCATATCTAAACCACTCGGCCCTTATCTCAAAAAAATTCAGATGGTTCAAAATAGACATATTTATTTCAGAGAGGACTGAGAATTATATCCTAAACTTAAAATGTAGTAGATTGATGCTCACTACCTCAGTTTAGCTCAATTTAAGACAAAAAAAATGTTAATAAAATTACCTGTCAGTGCAATGGAATTAGAGCTGAGAATTTTGGAAATAAAGCAAAGGACTAGAAAGCAGGAAGAAACTCTGCAGTGCCATATAATGAATCCCATGACCCAATATGACCTTTAAGTCATTATGTCTTGTTCAGACATAGCCAGAGGTATAAAGGGGGAAGGCAATTTTTTACTACTTCGTGCAAAAGAAGCTCTTCCTATAATTCACAAGGTAGAAAGCTTCAGCTTCTCAGGTTTTCTGTTGGCATCTGCAGTAACTGCAGTGCAGCAGTGCCCACCCACTGCCCCAGGAGAACCAAACCCTCCCAGCTCCTGCTCTGCAGCACCCAGCACTCAGGCTCAGCCCAGGGCCAAGGACTCAGCTGCCAGGGTCAGGAGTACCTGGCCAAAGAGCACCTGGCAGCACATGAGAACAGCCTGATGTGTGACTGCCAGTGCCAGATGCTGCTCAGGGACCCCATTGTCTCTTCTTTCTGAATTTGAGAAATATCCTCACGAGAGGGAGCTTCTTCCTGCTTTAAATCCACTTTTGTGAGGTGCCCACAGCAGTTGAGAAAAGCAGTCCTGGTCTTTCAATGCCACTCATTGTCACAGGCAGCTGTTAAGTTGTGTGGAAAGGACGAAGCTGCTACTCTGGGCAAGTGGAAATTGAAGACTTGTAGTTATTTAGCTGAGGAGAAGAGCTCTCATAGACAAGGCTCCCTGTGATTATGGATACTGCAGGATATTTTGTTAAATGGTGTGTGTTTTAAGGACAGGCAGGTGTCAGTCCCCTCATAAACTGCTCTGTGCTTGGGGTATGTTCTCAATGTCATCACCTCTGTGATTTAATCTTTCTTTTTCTTTAATGTACCCGAAAGGTTAGATTATTTTTTTTTTTAAATGTTACTCTAATAATAAAGTAGGTTTACTTATTCCTTACTGTAATGAATCATAAAACACTTTTATTTTTTAACATTAATCTGCTTTCCTTAAGTTTATGATTGCCCGGAGTCTTCCACTCTAAATGTGCAGTTAATAAATGACTGCACTTTAAAGACAGCATAATCAATAAAATTGCAGTTAAACTCTGATGCATTGAAAGCTTGTTTGTTGGTACTGGATTTACTTTTTGAACGTGTGGTTGCATTGCAGATGTGGGAAGAAGCCATATCTTTATGCAAAGAACTTGCAGAGCAATATGAAAAGGAAGTTTTTGACTATGAACTTCTAAGTCAAAACTTGGTAAGACTATATACAGATCTTCAAATTATTGCAGTCACAGAAATTAGTGCTTTTCAGCTATCAAACAGCAGAGGTGCCTTTTAGCTTATGGTCTAAAATTGATTTTTAATTAATTTGTTGAAGAGTTCCTGTTTCACTGCAGCAATCCAGTGGTAAAGGTTCATAAATAACTGTTGGCTAAAGTTGCATGAACATCTGTTTATTGAGGTATTTTGAAATGTCTGTAGATGAAATAAACATGTTCTCACCTAGGGAAATTTAAAGGCCATGTTTTGAAGCCTCTGTACTGCCCTAGGGTAGAAAGAACACCTGGATGAACTTTTCTCAATAAATTTTTCTTTCAATTTTAGCAGCGTGGATCTTGACAAGCCTGAATAATTCTGTCCTAATTGGGACTGTGGAAGTATTACAGCATAATGAATTAGAACTAGGTCCAAAGGCTAGAAGGAAAATTTTGAAGGAAAACAAAATATTCAGTTATTTGTTTTCATTAAAATTTAATTAATCCAAAAAGGATCCCACCCCCCACAAATGTGTTTTTTTCTACTCCCAATATTTAATGTTTGTATGATTTTTAACAGATGTTTAGGTTTCATTCAATAGATATCCCTGAATCCTCCTCAAAAGAAGCCCCAAAACAGCTGTAGGAATCAAAACATGATGTTCTGGAATGGTGCTGTGTATAAAGAAACTTCTTCTGTTCTGTTTTTATCATGAATTAAAGGACATTTTTGCCAGTTTAAGTTGCAGTGCAGATCTCACAGATATAACACCTTGATGACACTTGGTATTTTATGGAAGAACTTGTTCTAAGCCCTTTACATGGTTTGTATCCTTAATAAGAGTCTACAGTAAAAATTGGAGTTGATCCCATACCTCAGGAAACATTTGAGGCAGGGACTTTTTCCAAATGTATTATTTCAGTAATGTTATCAGTGGCCAGGATGACTTTGGTGTTTGCTTTTCTCCTAAGTGAAGGGTAAGCCAAATTCTGAGGTCAAATATTAACACTGAAGCCCATTTTGCTGTGTATTATATTTGCATATAAATGTAAAGTGTTTAATGTCCCCCTGCAGCGTCCTATGTGAAAACTGATTATTGCTGTAGCTCATCAGCTCTTGCATGTGTAGTTGAGGTTAAAAATGCATAGATAAAACCCCCAAACACAAGTAATTACAGTTGGTTTTGCTTTCAGATCCAGCAAGCAAAGTTCTATGAAAACATCATGAAAATTCTGAGGCCTAAACCAGACTATTTTGCTGTTGGATATTATGGCCAAGGATTCCCAACATTTCTAAGGGTAAACTTGATTAATTCTTACTTTTTCATCTACTTTCATTCCTCTTTTGTTTTCCTGTTTTCCTCATGATTAATGTCCAGATTCCTGTTTTTTTACCTCTAATATGCTTTGAGCTGACATGTTCATTGTACAGTTCTCAGTTTTTTTTCCTGAATAGCAACAGTCCCTAATTTAGGACAACTGTGGTAAGTTTGAACTGGTTTTATTCAAATACGCTGAATCTACTCTCTTTTCTTTACTTTTCTCTGGTTTTCTCTACCATGAGGGAAATTCAGACTCCAAAGGGTCTGGTTTTACAAAGAAGCCTGACAAACTTAGGAAGTGCTGCACAACTGGACTGTACTGTAGTTTTTTAAAAGGTCATTGTTTTAACCACAGTAGTGCATGACTTCAGAGCATACAAATAACCTAAATATTTTATATTTTTTACTACTAAAACCCTCTCTTACATACAACAATTACTAGGGAGGCTTTTTTCACTCTTGGAAAGCAATGAGAGTCTCTCCAAGTTTAAAGGCCAAAGCTGCCTTGAGAACATTGGGAAAACAGTGAAATGATAGGCGGGTGTTAAACCAGAGTTATTGTTTCTGAATAACAAAACCTTGAGTCCAGAGTCTCTGGAGAGTCAGAGCTGCTTTCCAGCACCTGGTCAAGAGGGTGTTTGGTTTTAGAGCTGATTAATACTCAGAAAACAGAAACACCCATTCCAAAACCTGGACCCTGCTGTGTCTTTGTGCCGAACACCATGAAAATGCAACTCCTGGCCAGGCAGTAACTCCTCATTCCTTGCAGAACAAAGTGTTCATCTACCGTGGCAAGGAGTATGAGAGGAGGGAGGACTTCCAGGCCCAGCTGATGAGCCAGTTCCCCAGTGCTGAGAAGATGAACACGACTGCAGCGCCCGGAGAGGATGTGAGGAACTCTCCTGGTCAGCGTATCCTCGGACACGTGGGGGATTGAAGAGGGAAGGAGGGTTGGGAAGATTTGTTCTTAGCATGAGTTTATCTGTGTGAAACCAGAATTTCCTGAGAAGGTTGAAAGTTTAGTGACGTGGCAGCTCAGTTTGCAGTTTGCACGTCCTCCATGTCTTCTCTGGTTTGTTCCTAAGAGAGCTCCTGTTTTTCTGGCAGTTCTAAGGAGTCTGCCTGTTTCATTAGTCATAGAAACATTTGGGTTGGAAAAAACCTTTGAGTCCAACCTTTAAACTTGTTCACCCATGTTCCCAAGTGCCACATCTGCATGTCTTTGAAACCCCTCCAGGGACGGTGACTCAACCACTTCCCTGGGCAGGCTGTGCTAGGGCTTGACGGCCCTTCAGGGAAGAAAATTCATTGTAGTTCATACATGGTTTAAGTTTATTTTCTTCAAATGGCAAAACCAAGTGTCACACACTTGAAGAGACACAGTTTAAAGCAGCAAATTTTCTGTTACCTCAAATTCATAGCTGTTGTGTCTTGATATTAAATTCATGTCTTCCTTGAGCTGACTGCTCTGACTGGCACCACACTTCAGTGTCACCTCCATTTCTTGGCAACATGAACACGTCTCAGGTCCCACAGAAATTTTCTCCGGAAAATTAACTTACAAATGTTGTTAACCAACTTTTAGAATGGCCTCAATTTTTCTTGGTTAGAATAACTCTGATTATCTTTTTCTTCTGATTTGAGTCATTACTGACTGAGCAGATATGAGATCACCTCATTGGATCAGACATTTGTTTTTGCATGCTGATTTTCCTTTGTTGATTTTCAAGGTAGCGTTGTAACACTTCACAGACTCTTGAGAATTTTCTGGTGGAACTTCCTGGAGGAGAAATGGAATACTTTCTTTTCACACTGTTGGGACTGAAGTGGGATTATTACAGGCTTGTCTAAAACAGTACATTAAGCTTGAAAGCCAGGCTCTCCCAAGTCTGTGTTGCCTCTTAACTAATTAATTTTTTTTGGAGAACACATGCTTCAGTCCTTAAGGTAGAATTTGCTCATCTATTTGCAAGGAACAGGAGATAGGCACTACTTCTGCAATTCTGCAAAAGGATCTAACCAGAGGGCATGACTTTCAAACACACTGAAATATGTAAGGATGTGATATATTTACTTGCAGTATTCAGATTTTAAAAACAGCTCTTCTATAGAAAAAGGAAATCTCAAGTAAAAGGGCTGTTCAGTCACAGATTTCAAAATGAAATGTTAACCATCATGACTTTATGCATGCCTAAAGCTACACAGTGAAACTGTTAACATCAGATGTGGTTGATGTTATTTTTGTAAGTTGCCTGAGCTTAAAAATTTAATGAATGAGTCAGTGTGATAAATTCAGCTGCAGATATTCAAGCTCAGGAAATAATAAAAATATGCAGTTCAGAATTAATATGTCTTCACTGGTTACTACTGGCAGATTTTTCCTTTTTTGGCCAAGGAAACTCCAGAAATGAAACCCTGAACACTTCAGATTTTTCCTCAGAAAATGTCTTTTTTTATTACTATTATTATTTTTATTTCTCCTGCAGCCTATGGTATTTCATATTAATAGTTAATAACATGCCCTTAACTTTCACAATTTCAGATATCCAATGTTTTACAGTGCAGCCAGTCCTGGAGGAGCAGCCTAGATTCAAAAATAAGGCAGTGCCTGATCAAATAATAAAGTAAGTGAATTTCTGTAGTAGATAGTATAATGAAAATGAGTCCATACTCCTAAACTGACAACAATTATTTTGTGAATTCAGTCATTTGCCAGTGAATCTTGGAGTTTTTGTTGTCCTAATTTACTGACTTAGGTATTGACAGAATCAGAGAACAGTTTGTGAGGGAAGGGACCTTCACAGGCCACCCAGTCCAACCCCCCAGGGACTTTGCTCAGAGCTCCATCCTCAATCTGTCCTGGATATCCCCAGGAATTCCATGAAAGAGCCTGCACCCATCTGCCACTGAAAAAATAACTCGTGCATACAGGGCAGGGAGGTGGAATCTGTGCTTTGTGTCGAAGTTATTGAGTTTCCAACACAGCTTCTCAGACAAGGGGTGGAGAGAGGGCTCTTGGAGGGGACTGGCAGTGTGAGGGTGGTTGAATGAAGGCTCTTGAATGATAGAATCTTGTTGTATCTTGTCTGGTCCAGTGCAGAATACAGGGTGGCAGAATGGTTTCTGCTGGTGCTATGCAGTATGGGTTTTGTAAAGGAATAAAGGAAATTAATTGACCAAAGTATTTTGAGACCAGTCTGACCAAGAGCTGCTTCCAAACCAGTTGTGCCCTTGGTCTGCAGCTCTCTCTGTGGAATCTTTACTGGAGCAGCAACTGACTCAGAGTGGAAAAATATGAATCATCTCCCCACATACACCAAAGTAAATAAAGCAGATACAAGCACAAGTTTTGTGTGACAGGACTTTAAAATAAACAAATAAACAAACACAGACCAAAAAACAACCCAACCCCAAAAATTGTTGTTCTAATTTCGACTTGATTCATTTTAAAATCAGTAACTTGAAGGCAGATTATAAATGTGGTCCTGTTGGAGCAGATTTCAGTGTAGAGACAGCCACACTTCAAACTGCTCCAGTTTATGTAGCAAAGTGTTCCATGTAAAGTACAATCTCTGCTCACAGGGGAGATTTTGTAATGGTTTGTCTCAGCTGCAGAATTCAACCAAACTGCAGATTACATCTGGGCTTAAAGATTTACTTTTATGAGTTTACTTTATTGGGCATTTAATTGTTTGTTACATTACGTGATGACAATGCATTTATTCTATCAGAGAGCTTCAAAATATCTGTCCTTTCAGATGGAACTGCATAAAGGGATCTGACACAGTGTGGCAGTATTTTCCAGTTACTTTTCTTTACTGATGAAGAAATTCTTAGCAGTTTGACTCAGAAATCATCATTTCCAATGAACTAACATACCATGGTTTGCTTAACTCAGATGTTTCCATTTGTTTTTCTGGGCTTTCAAAACATGGTTCAGTTTTACTGGAAGAGACTTCTGAGATTTTTTTTTTTTTCTGCAAAATTAGCTTTTACTTAACAAGAGTTTAAATTTAATTGATCTTTAAAATAAATACTAAAAACACAGAGGAGAGATTTTTCTGTGGACAGCAAAATGCTTAGCCAAAACTCTGCAGTCCCAGTGCTAAAAGCCAAGTGGGGCAAATTTAGTGGAAAGATGTGCTCATGATGATGGAAAATGAAATATGAGCTCAATAGAATAGACCATAACATGAATTTGCAAAGGATTCTATTATTATTATTATTATTATTATTATTATTATTATTATTATTATTATTATTGTTGTTGTTGTTGTTGTTGTTGTTGTTATTGATTACTATTCTAAATTCTATTATTCTACATTATATTATTATTATTCTACATTATTATTCTACATTTATTATTATTATTATTATTATTATTATTATTATTATTATTATTATTATCATCATCACCATCATCATCATCATCATTATTATTATTTACTTACTGGTGTAGCCCTCTACAAGCACTTCTATACATTCTATTATCTATCTCAAGAAATCCTTATTCATGGCTTCAGCTGTTTAATTTGTTGAATGTTGTTCAGCATTTTGAGCAGGATTTCTGGATAAGATTAAACTGCTTTGTCATGTGCCATGTTCCACTCCAGGTGAAAATCCCTGCTCTGCTCAGTCAGTCAGAATGAAAGAGACTCCTCTCCTAAACCAGGATAAAGCTGGCAAGCAGGGCACGTGGCACAGCAAGAGAGGAAAAATCTCTTCTGGTCCTCCTGTAGATTTGAACATTAATCTGGAAGTTCTGGAATTTTTATACCTGGGAAATACACCCAGCCACAAGCTGAAGTTTAATACTTGTAAAATACTGTGTGTTGACCCTGATTTATAGATAAAGTAGCTGCCTCCTGAGTTTCCAGTAAAATCCTTTTTTTTCTGAGCAGTAAATTTACTTTTAATTAAAAACTCAACTACTCAAAATGAAATATTTCTCTGTGATAACAAGACCCATTAATTTCTGGTTCCTGTATTTTACAATATAAATTTAAAAATCTTTCAGCTTTTATAAGTCAAACAACGTGCAGCGGTTCCACTATTCAAGACCAGTCAGAAAAGGATCTGTTGACCCTGAAAATGAATTTGCTGTAAGTAAATTAACGACAAGGTGATGGATGTAGTTCTGTTAACTAACTGAATTTTGATCCTAGCTCCTTTCTTAGGCTCAGATTAGAGACAGCTTAACTTTAAGATCTGGTTCAAAAAAAGCCTTCTCTATTTCAGCATGACCCTTGTGTGCTTAATTATACATCACTGTTCCAGCTGCAGGTAAACATTGTGCACTTTTCAACATGTTTGTGTTTAAGCAGTAACATTTGCTGGTACAGATTTTGATTAGGAAACAAGGTGACATGTAAATAAATACCAAATACTTTTGCAACATTTCCATCAGCTGCCAGCCAGGCAATGAGGTGAGTGTTGTCTGCTTTCATCAGCCCTGTGAAATCCTGGCTGCTCAGAGAACTGCCTGTGTCATTTTTACTCCCATACCTAAAGATGGAATGGCCTTCACCCTTCAAATATTCTAAAAAATCTACACCACCATAAATTACTTTTCAGTGTTAAGTATAAAAATGTGGTGTCTGTGTTTTCATTTTACAGGTATCTGGTATATTTTTTGGTTTGTTTTCAAAAGCAGCCTATCCAAGCCTAAAGCTGGGAAAAGCCATATCTTTCCAAAATGTACAATTTCTGTTAGGTGTGTGCTGATTAGCAAAGTCAAGACTTTCTTGTAAGAGCTTCCCACCTGCTGTTAAATCAACACTTGAGACACAAACTCTGCCCTGACTACTCTATCCCAGAATGTGTTGTCAAGACTCAGGATGCACCTTGGCTTCCTTTGCAAACTTGAGAGTTTTGGGCCCATTTATAAATATACCTTGAAATGGTTTTACAATAACTAAATTGTTGATGCTTTCATTGCTGAGGACAATAGATGAGATGCATGTTTCCTTCAAAGAGGAGGAAACTGGGACAGCTGGAGTGTCTTAACTACATCTGTTATGGTGTCTCTCAGTACTGGCAATTCCAATGAGCTGATATTGAAATAAGGAGCAGCAGTGGCTGTTCCAAACTATTCTAAAATACCAAAAGCCAGTCTTGTTCAGAAAAGAAAAATGAGAGGAACCAAACCAAAGTCAGAATGCTGGTAGGTTGTTATAGGGCTATTACTGCTTTTAATTGCAGAAATTCCATTTGAATGTGGAGGGAGGAAATATAATCTGGGTAGAGGCAAGAACGGATCACTTAACAACAGCCATTCTATCTGCAATGGCAAAAATCAGAATACAGACTAAATGATTCATGGGTAATTTTCTTTTTCCCTTGCTTTGCACAGGCTTTGTGCCTGAAGATGACCTAATCTGAAATCAGAATTATTTGTTCAAGTCTCTATTCTAGATTTAGTTTGCAATGTCTTTTTATGCAAAAATATGCATATGTTTTCCAACTACATCCATTTCACTCTGACATCTCAGAAGGCAGAAGAGATTAAAGTTTCAATCCTGAAATATTATTTTCTCCTGCCATGTTTTTCAATAGTCTATGTGGATTGAGAGGACATCATTTGTTACAGCCTACAAACTTCCAGGAATCCTGCGCTGGTTTGAGGTGGTCTCCATATCACACGTGAGTATTAACGAGCTCAGGGCCCATCCAGCTTGCAGCTGTTGAATCCTCATGTCCAAATCAGTTTGCAAAATTAATAACAAGGCTTCTGCAAAATTATCAACAAGTTGCTTCTTTTTATACATACAATTATTATTTACATTTAATCTTTCTACTGCTCAATACAGGATCGATATCTCTTATGCCTGATTTATAGTTTGAGAATTGAAAAGCCTGTGTGGGTTTGTGACTTGCAGAACTGTTGTTCATGTACATGAATTTTATAAAACTAAAAAGGCCTGTTTATATCTTTATGAACCTTAGAAGTGTTTTGTTCCTTTACAGTGCACAATTAGTCCTTTAGAGAATGCTATTGAGACTATGTCCATGACAAATGAAAAGATTTTGATGATGATTAACCAGTACCAGAGTGATGAGAACCTCCCTATTAATCCACTTTCCATGCTTCTGAATGGAATTGTTGATCCAGCTGTCATGGGTGGCTTTGCTAAATATGAGAAGGTAGGAGCTTTTGAGTCACTGCAAAAAACATTCTCAGGTGCATCATTTCATAATCCTCCTACATCCCTTGTTAGAGTGGCAGTGCAGTGGGGATGGGGAAGAGGAAAACCATCATTCCATCAGTTAAGGGATCCTCATATCCTCCTTTCCTGGTCATCTCTGTCTTTGAAAGCAAACCAGAAAAACTGAAGTTACCAGTTGATGTAAATCATGATACTCCAAATCTGTGCCTTTTTAGTTTCACTGTAAACTTAATAAAAGGAACAATGATTTGGATTCATAATAAGGGTCTCCAAGTCAGAAGTGCTGGATAAAGGCCAAATAGATCTTTTTACAAAGTGCACCTCAGTTCCCAGCTGCCAGAGGGAGGAATTATCACAGCAGCATCTGGCTAAGGACCATGCCTGTGTCTCTCCTCTTTGATGACCAGTCTAATAATCGGGATGTGGGAATTAATGCTTGATTTCTTTACCTGTCAAAATGATGGACTGTATTTATTTATTTTCTTGTCTAAGGCTTTCTTTACAGAAGAATATATCAGGCACCATCCAGAGGATACAGAAAAACTGAACAGACTCAAAGATCTGATTGCTTGGCAGGTAATTTCTCACTGACAGACAGCACTGAGGCTTCACCAGGGGTTCCTTTGTTCCATTCCTGTATGAAGGATAACACAGCATTGAGGTGATTGTGTCATTTCCACTTTTTTTTTAACCCCTGAAAGGTATTTTGTAGAACACATCATCTGGAATGGTTTATCAAAAGCCACGTATAGCAGGCTACATTTATGGTTAAAAGGATTTCCAACTTGGGTTATATTCTTGGAGAGAAAACTGAGAGCATGACAAAAGTCATAATGATTTCACAAATTTTTGGGGTTGTCAAATGTCAGAAACTCTCTTGGGGCACAACTCTTTCCTAGAGTATTTGTTCTTTGTGGAGGATTTTTCCTGTTTTTCCCACTAGGAATATTAATGGTGTTTGGTTCTCTCAGGAATTATTTTCATGTTCAGTGACCCTTCAAGATTGCTGCTATGTGTTTTCTGTGTGGCAAATAGCATGTAAGATTATTAGGAAATATTTTTAAGCTGTATCTCCAGAGCAGAATATTCTCCCTATATTGGCAGAACTGGGTTTATTTGGGTTTACTATTTATTACTTTATATACAGTGTATATATGATAAGACAAGCAGCCTGCAGAACCCTTTTGCCCTCAAGGAGGAAGATGCACCAATGGAAGGTGGTAGCAGAAAAAACTCTATTTTTACTGAGATTCAAGGGAAAATGGCTCTTTCTGTTGACCTCATAATGATAATGGAGCAGAAAAACACATGGCCTCAGAAATTATCCATTCTATTTCCATTAACCAGTCCAAAACAAATCATTGCTATCAACAGATAGAGGGATGGTAAAAAATAGTGAGAATTCATCTGGGATTTTACTATCAGAAATGAATGGCTCAAGCTGTTTCTCCTCATGTTCCACTCATTTTTTGTACTTATTAAAAACATCCCTGGAAACATCCAAGGTCAGGTTGGCTCTGAAGAACCTGATTTGATGGTTTTGAAGATGCTTCTGTCTCTATAGCAGGGGGTTGGACTGGAAGACTTTAGAGGTCCCTTCCAACCCAAACTATTCAATGATTCTATGATTGTCTCTCTTTCATAGATGAGAAACAGCAAAAATTTACTGTTTATTCCTCTCTCAGGTTTGAAATTCATCTTCCAAATACTTTTAATGGAATTGTTTCTACTATTTTCTTAATGTTTTTGAAGTTTCTTCCTGTTTTATTTTGATTCATCCCAGTTTGGTTATTATTTGAGTTGTACCTTCACAGTTTCTCCTGTGTCACTGCCCACCACAGCTGTGTGTGGTGTTGTTTTTGGGCCATCAGAATCACTCAGTGAATTCAGTGGGATTGACTAACCACAATGTCACCTGGCATTAGGAAATAAGGGGTAATTTCTACCTATCCCTCTATGTCCTCAGCAAATCCCTCTAAGGAGGACAAACAGATCTGTCAGAAACAGATGGGCTTTAATACCACGATTTTAAAAGTTATATTGTTATTGCACTTCCATAACACATGATCAACACGATGGTGGACCAATGTTCACAGTATTTACTGAGGCAGAACACAAAAAGGAAGCACGGAATCAAAGTGGGTTTTACAAAAAATCCTGGATATTAATGCAAAAGAGTTAAAAAGCTGAAGTAAAGCAGTTAGAAAAGGTTAGTGGCAGAAGGGGAGCTAAAAGTATTGTGCACAAACCTCATAACATTAAAATACACAGAATAGAGAAAATAGCCTCTGTGATGCAGCCAACATTTTTCAGAAATTTCCTGTGAAAACCCATTTTCCATGAGCCTTTTCCATCTTGTATTTGCTGCTCCAAGCTGAGATCAATGGACAAATCCACCTGCCAGTCACAGGAGGAGTTTTGCAGTTGATTTCCCAGATAATTTAAACAGAGCCAGAGAGGTTGTTGGACCCACTTGAAAAGTCTCACCTTTTTCCTTCTTTTGTTCCTCCTAAGATACCATTCCTTGGGGCTGGAATTAGAATTCATGAAAGAAGAGTTTCTGATAATCTTCGTCCTTTCCATGACCGGATGGAGGAATGTTTCATGCACTTAAAAGTTAAAGTGGAAAAACAATATGGAGCCAGAGAATTGGTATTGCTCTCCTTTTAACCTCTACCCCAATTTCTCTTTATTTAACACACACCTTGTTCTAAACAAAAACATGCTATTTCTTTTATTTTTTTTTTGCTTATGGGTTTTCTTGTGATCTAAAGGTAATAAAATCTGAGTTGTATCATCCAAGAGCTGATTCAATTCTCTGATCAAATATTCCTCATTCTGGAAGATTTTGAGTATATTTTATTACAGCTTAAAATTGCAAGATTTTTCAGCCTTATTGAGGAAGTAAAAGCAAGTTCTTATGTTTGTTCTCTTTGTAATTTTTCTTAGTGGTTTAGGGCTTTGATCTGCAATTGATGTCTCCCTGTGCCAGCCACTTCCAGCTGTGTTGTGAAGGAAAACCTGTCATGTGTATAATACTATAAATATTAGTTGAGAGAAAACTGAAATATCTTGCAATTGAAGGATAACTTCTGAGAACAAACTCCCAAGACAATTCTTGAATAATATATTCTATCTGAGTTGTGCAGGCTAGCAAGAATGACATTGCCTGTTTTTTTGTGATTAAATTCCAGTTACTTTGGTAATTATTTTATATTGTTGCTTTCAGCACTGATGATTTTATAACTGGATTTATTTATTCTGTTATAGGGGGAAAAGCAGCAAGTTTTTAACTTATATTTTGGATATGTGCTGTATTATACACCTGTATAATTAAAATTCTATGTATCTATCTGAATATGGTTTTTATTTTGCATTAATAGAGGCTGTAATTGCAATAATTTACTTGAAATCATGTAATTGCAATAATAATTACAATAACAGAGGCTGTAATCCACAACTGGAAATTTTGCCTCTTGTTTGAACCCTCCAGCACTCTTAGAGACCAGCACTTAAAAAACCCAACCTATTTAAAATTTTGCAGAGAATGAACTGTGTGAATTGAATTTGGGAGATTTGAAGTGTAAGAATTCACCCAGACCCAGGATAAATCAGTAATTAATGGGAGCAGACAACTTCTTTCATGCCAAGTGTTAAACATCTGCACAAGTCTTCAAGGGCAGGTGTGAGAAGGATGAATTGAAGATCCAGGCTTGTTTGACAGGATGTGTTTCTCTTTTCCATCCTGTAGCCAGAGTTTGATGACAAGAGGGTCGGGCGGCCAAGGTCGATGCTGAAATCCTACCGCCAGTTATCCTTCATCTCCATGTGCTCCATCAGTTCAGACTGCAGCACTCCCAAAAAACTTGCTTCAGAAAGGTTGGTTATAAATACAGTACAAATTCTTTTTAAGTCTTGGTTTTTAATCAGTTTTATGAGACAAAAGAAAAAGATTAGTAAAAAGAATGAAGACCACTAGAAGTCTTTTCAGACTATACCAACATTATTTTTAACTGCAGCTATCACTTCCTCCAGGCTGAGAACTACAGTGTTTCAATCTTAATATTTCAATCTTAAAATGTTCAAGTCTCATTAAAATAAAAAAAAAGTGGCATTTAATTTTCAGCAAATAAGTATTTTAAAAATTAAATTACATTTCAAAAATGTACCCAGATCTGGGTTTTTTTTACAAGTTTCTTTTTATACAGGTTTTAACTTAATTAGCATCTTTTTGTTTGTAGAATGTGAATAGGAAAGAAATAATCTTTACAAACTTGAGGTGGAAGATTTTAGTAAAGTCTGTAGGAATGTAAAATGCTTTATCTAATGTGTTTTAACTACAACACTGGAAAACAAAAAGACTTTTGAGAGAACAATTATAGGTATAGCTTTTTCATCCCCAAATTGTTTTGTTCACTTTATAAATTATCTTTCAGGCACACAGAACTTCTTCCCAAACGTGGTACATGTAAAACTGAACTTGTTGAGCAGTGTTTGGTTATTTTTTAAACATCTGATCTCCCTTTTTGAGTAGTTCACTTGGACAAAGTCCAGTGGTGTATGACCCTAATGTGGAAGGGTTGGCTCTTAAGACACCCCTTGCTCTACTTTGAGATTCCTGAGGCTGCTCCTGCTGCCCTCGAGCTTCCCCTCCAGAAGGGTGGAGCAGCCAAACCTCATTTGTGTGTGCAGCACAACAGGAGACCTCTGACAGAGCCAGACAAGCCCACTGAAGCATCTGCACCTGGTTTCAGTTCTTAGGATGCTAATTTGTTTCTAGGAAGTCACAGGTCACCAGAGTTAGCACACTTCTTGATTTATCAATTTTTATGTTGTAACAAGAGTTCTGTCCTGTGTTCCAAAGGTTGAGAAGGGAGTAAAGCCAGCACCAATTTTATGGGGTTTTTTTTTGTTTTTTTGTTTGTTTTGTTTGAGAAGTAGCCCAATTTTTAAAATGTAAAAATTAGAGGAAGAGAGAAGGTGGAAGGGGGGTTAATCTCTGGGTATATGCATTCTTGTCCAGTATGGTGAAATAAAAAGGAGAATTTATTTAAAACATGGCAGCAGACAGCCACACTCTGTTCCACTCTGGTTCTTGTCTTGCTTTCAGCATCACTACACATCAACTTGCCATGTGAGCTCTACTCTGTTCAGTTTAGGAGTTCTTTAGCTGATACACAAATCTTTAAACAGGGATTTGAGCTCGTTTTAATATTTTACCTTCTTCACTACATTTTAAGATGGTGCCACACTGCCCGAAGGCATCTTATTTGTATCTCCAGTTGCCAGCTGCTGAAGCACATCAGATACTTTTTGCCAGCAGTTTGCAAGGCTGAATAGAAAGCAGAAGGAAAAGAATGACCTGCATTTATATTTTATGGGGAAATGACATCAGAATACCAGCAGCTTTTAAAATATCACTCAGCAACTTGTACTTTCTTTCTTTTGCTCCTGCAGCTTTGATCTGGAAGCAGTGCTACCAAAGCAAGGAAAAGCAGAATCAGAGGAGACTGCTCCGCAAAATAATCCTCATCCTGAAGTCAAGATGAGAAGGTCCAAAAAAAGAACAAAAAGAAGCAGTGTGGTGTTTGCTGATGAGAAGACAGCAGCTGATATTTCTATCACTGACATGAAATGTGTATGTTACTGATTTACAGTAGTGTTTTATAATCCATGAAAAAGAGGACATTACTCCTTTCCTTAGAAAAAGAAAAATATATCCCAGAGAAGTCCAGCTGTCATAAGGGGAAGGATGCAGGATGCAGAGATGATCTGCCCTGCCATGAATGAAACATGCAAGATGCTGTGGAGGAAACAAATCAGTGAGAAAATCAGATCATCTCTCCTGGCTTCTAGTGACAGATACCAGAGCTCTGAGGCTGCAGATTCTGCAGCCCGGTTAGCTCAGAAAGGAGCACCATGTGGGGAGGGTTAAGCTGCTTTCCTGTGGAGAGACAATTGACTGTGCTGACTTTTCATGGCAGCTCCTCACAGTCAGGGCTATTTCAAAAGTGATGAGCCCTGTACGTTCTGTACCTCGTTATGGAACATGCAGCTGTTGGAAAACTGCAAGATTGCAAACAGTGCTCCTCAAATGGTGCCAGACTGAAGTTTGGAAGCACAGGCATCTCTCACTCCATAGATCATCCAAGGGCTTCTATTGCTCTGCTGGATCATTACAGTGACTTATGTAACTTACACTGGGCCTTTTTTATAGACAGAGTTTAATCCTCAGGAGAATTTTATTTTAGTATATGTCCTCTAAATACACAATCCTCATCTAAATTAAAAAGCCTGGCAGTAACAGATTGTTGAATTACATGGAGGGAGCATAAATAATTTGATCAAAAATGTTTGAAGAAATCATCAAAGGTAAAATGAATGGAGTAGAAAGTCAAGACTGCTGGAGAAGCACAGAGAAACTCATGGATGATTATGACTGTCTCCCACTGCATGTCCTTATGCAAAAGAGAGATAAAGCACAGTCATGCTTTGAGAAGCACTGATACACAGAACCAAGTAACACCTTTGGCTTTAGATGCAATTAGATAACACATACACCAAACTGTGGGGATCCCACTGTGCATTGAGCTAGAGGATTTTCTTCTGCTTCAAAATAGCAGTGACAAGGCTTTGGCCAGCAGCCAAGCTGGGTATGTTAATGCAATAGAAAAAAATGTTTTCAAAACTTCATTTTACTTTGCAGATCACACCCAGAGTTGTCTGATGGTATTAAGCCAAAAATAGGGTAGAAATTCAGATTTCGCATCACAGACTACTTCTGTAACTTTTTTAGAATTCTTTTTTTCTATGTAGAATGAGAAGTTTTTATCTAACTATAAATTACCTGCAAAGTTGTCGCATGTTTTTAGATTGTACATAATATGACACACGAACCAAAGTCTCAGTTCATCATTAATGCTGGGGCTTTTTTATTTAACAGCTGTCTAGGAAATACGAGTTCATGAGTGACACCAACCTCTCAGAACACGTGGTGGCACCTCAGAAAACTTCTGTCCTCAAGCAGATGAGCACTGTCAGTCGTTCCATGCCAACTATCCCAGGTAAGGTGCTTACACCAGGGTGAGAATTCTGAACTTTATTAGGATGGTAAAAAATCAGCAGTGAAGGGTTTGCTCCAAGCAGGGCTGGCAGCTCTCTCCACCCTTGTGAAATCCACTGGGATATAGATTATAACTGAAGAGTGTACTGTGCTTGGGGGCTGGACTGCTCCAAATGCTTGGGAACACCGTAGGACCTTGTGCCAAAATGCAAATTCTACAACTGTTGCTCCTGGAGCTCCGAATTTCACTTCCTTGTACAGTGTGAGCATTCCTGCTGAGGAAAGAGCATTCCTACCTAGAAAGCAGCAAGGTTTATTCAGCTTCCCTGCTCTGTAGGGTCTCAGGAGCAGAAACAAGGACTCACAGCCAAGGGCAGAGTGTGATACAGGGAGAAATGCTCCGTGCTGTGCTTTGGGGGATGAATATCAGCAGAGGTTGTCCCATAATGGGATTTATACTTCTGCTTTTGAAGCCAGAGAGGAATCCCATAGATTGCCTCACCACGGGAGGCAGAGGAAGCAAGATAACACAGCTGCCCCCAGACAGATGGGTGGTTTGAGAAAGAAAAGGGCAAAGTGTGACTAAAGCTGGGGCTTGTCTCTAGGCTGAGGCACACAGAGAAAACAAGCCCAATTCCAGTCTCTTTTACCCCCTTGTTCCATAGGACATTCCATTTCCTAACCTGCATTTCATCTATCCCTCTCTCTGTCCCCCTTTCCAGATGCCTGTAACAGATGTTTAGCACAACACAACAGACTGCCATGGCCCACTTCTTTGTCATGTGTTTATCTATTTTTAATTCTTTGGCCAGATTGGTTCTTTTTTTTTCACTGTTCAGTCTCAATGAAATGAAATTTATTGTTTCCTTATTATTTAATATTTTATTCTAAGGTTATAGTTAGATTAAAAATTACTCAATTTTTCCTAGTCATTGCAGGAGTGCACAATTTTGAGTTCTGCTTTGTCTTACAGTCTGACTCTCCTCTTTTGGCTTTGTTTTGTGTAACCAGTATTGTTTCCATTTTAAGGATTAACTCTGTCTGTCAGCACCGTGGCACCCGATGAAACAATTGCCTCACACAGGCTGAGCCAGCCAGTGTTTCCTTCCACCTCAGATGGTGACAAGAAAACCTTCAAAAAGAAGAAAGTGAACCAGTTATTTAAAACAATGGTAAGCCCTGTCTGCTTGGGGAGAAAAAGGAAATGTTCAAAAATCCTGTGCTATGAAAATTAAGTATTTTTGAGACAAATAGGCTCATAAGTCTTTTTTCTTGATGCTTTTGTCAGAGAATGTGGTGGAAGCAAAGCTGGCTGTGGCAGCACTTGCAGTGGGAGGGATGCTGGGATGGAGGGATGCAGGGATGGAGGGCTGGAAGGCTGGAGGGTTGCAGGGTACAGGAATGGATGGGTGCAGGGATTTAGGGTTACAGGGATGGAGGCTGGAAGGATGGAGGGATGCAGGTGTAGAAGGATGGAAGGATAGAGAGGTGCAGGAATGGAGGACTGGAAGAATACAAGGATGCAGGGATGGATGGAGGGATGCAGGGATGGATGGATGGATGCAGGGATGGATGGAGGGATGCAGGGATGGATGGATGGATGCAGGGATGGATGGAGGGATGCAGAGATGGATGGATGGATGCAGGGATGGATGGATGGATGCAGGGATGGGTGGATGGATGGGTGGATGGATGCAGGGATGGATGGATGCAGGGATGGATGCAGGGATGCACCTGCGTGTGCTGCTCCGCTCCCGGCCCGCGAGAGGGC